ATTCCTGTTCTAGAAATCATTGTAACTGACAAATTACTTAACAGTCGTGTTTCTTAATATATTTTAAAGAAATTTTTGAAGTTGTTCTACCTTGTCATTTTCTCTGTTTTTCTGAAGAAAAATTCGTATGGACGAAATGATTTTTTAATTATATTTTCCAATACTTGGATTTATTTCTTCTAATGTAACTACTGTTCAAGCCATGATGGTAAAGATGAATTTGGTGATTTAACTTTTATATTAAATTGTTTCAATGTAGCTTCCAATGCAGTTTGATTTCCAGAAAAATAGGCAGATACTGCATTGTGAAACAACAATAATTGTTTATGCATTACCTTAATCTGTAATAAAAATATATTTAAAAAATGTTTGTGGTTTTTTTAATAGAAAATAACTAAACAGGTATACCCTGTATAACAAAGTAATAAGAAACAAGAGTATACCCTGTTTTCATCCAAAAATTTGAGTTTAATCGAAACATCTGATCTTAGTTTTTCAAAGTTTTGTTTATGTTCTTCATAATTAGCCTGTGCTGCTTCTAATCTTGCTACATTGCTGTTATCATTTTTTGTTATTTGTGCCAATGTTTCAAGATCTGTTCTATAAGCATCATATTCTATTCTGGAAGGAAATCAATTTTTATGTATCAAAATTTGTAAATGTAATTACTATTTTTGTGTTAAGACATTGTGAAATTTAGAATTACCTTGCTGTTTCATACTGTCGTACTGTAAATAAAGTGTCTTCAATAGTTTTATTACAAAGTGTATTCACTGAAGAGACAAAGAAGTTTAAGGCCCCTAATAATGTTTCACCATTTTTAGTCAGATTTCTTTGAGTTTCTGAATTATATAGAAATTCCTCTTGTAATTCCGGAGATTTCTGTGCTAATTCAGAAAATGCTTCTCCTAAAGCATGTTGTGTTTGAACAACATGATGAAAATGAGAAGCTAATGCTCTAGATAACCGTAGAACATTACAGTATTTTCTCTGAGTGTCCCTCAATAATTCAATTTGCGTTTCAAGTTCTGAAAAAAAAGAAGAGATATTCATACAGTAGGAAAATGAATGAATTTATTATATTATATAGAATTTACCTGAATCTACTGTACGAGATGTTTTTCCAAGTTTTTCATACATTAGTTGCCTCGTACACTTGTATGTAGAAATACTCCAATTTTTAATGCTTTCAATTTTACTCTGAGCAATACGCATTGTCTGTGTATCACCATTTTGAATAGGTGTATTTGGAGATACTGTTACAGCTATTATATATATAAAAATATTTTGGAGTTTTAAAGGTAACAGTCACAATGGTCTTATTATATTATAATTCAATAATATAAGTATTACTTACACATTTGTGAGGTAGGACTACCCAATGTTAAATTTATTGTAGCTGGTCTGGGTTGACTATCGTTACTACAATTGTTTGGTACATGAGGTGGAGGAGTTCCACTATGAACTGCACTATCACTGTCATTTAAAGATGGAGCATCTTTTAGCATTTCATGAATACTTCGCTCCATTCCACTGAATGTAACAACTATATGCAGTACATTAATTAAAAATTCATTGATGCATTTAATATATACAAATGTATTGACATAAGAATAACAAAATGTATTAAATGATAAAAGTAATT